TGGACATTCATCGGTATACCCCATTTTTTCTAAGTTCCGTTATTGAATATTATAGGTGTGTAAACTTAGCAAAGTATTCTAAAAGAGTCCAGTAGCCCATAATAGCATTGGGTCTTCTGTTTAATGTAAGTTTTATTTAAAATAATATAGTATAATAAAGCTGTAAGAAGGCAAAAAGATAAAGCAGCAAAACAAAGTTTAAATAATAGTCTGAGAAGTTGATAGAAATGCCTAAATTTTTAATATTTATAAAACATAAGTTACACAACCTCTGAACTTTGGGGAGGTTAGCAAAGAAAGGCATGAAATTTAAAGAACTCATTTACTCAACAGAGTTTAATATATTTCTTTTAGAAAAAAAAACTTTAGAGGAAATCTCTCCCACACATCATAACTTTCAAAAATCTGAATACTCTGGTTTTTCTTCAGATCATACAAGTCTTTTGCCTTTTGTAAAAAAGCTGATAAAAGGTTATGAAATACTTAATGTTTCCTCAGTGCTCCAAAAATGTATTCAAAAACACATTTCATGTATCAATTATTAAAAATAAAATTGATAGCACCATATGAGATGATTTAATAAATGTTATTTGAGTGTTCAGAAAGCAGATGGGCAGGCATAAAGGATATGGTGTACTTTGAATTAAAACAATATGCCCTAAGTTTGTAGATCTTCACATTTGTTTGATCCAGGAATGATTAACTACATCTGGAGAAATCAGTGGACTGAGCATCATTTGAACGATCCTCTATGTTCAGTATATTAGTGTGGAGTATAGACATTTCGCTTCTTAACATTTACCTTTTTTCATTCAATAAACATCCATTGAATGAAACAGGAGAAGACCACCTTTGTGTTAGATACTGACGTAGGTATGAAGGGTTGTGAACAAGAAGGATCTAGTGTCTGATCTTGCGAACTTTTCACCTAATGTTTGGCCTGGGTATCAAACAAATAATCAATAGGGGAAAAAAAATAGAACATATGAGACTATGCCAGATATTGGGACTCATCTATCTTATTTATTTATTAAAGTTGATTTTACTTTTTTATTAATTTTATTGAGAAACGAATAGCAATGAGACAGTTTCAAAATTGATTAGTAGGACAGTTTCAATAATTAATACATTCCATATTTTTTGTTGTCTTCATAGTAGTTATTCATAGTGCAAGATTCAGACATGATAACCTGTCCAAACACTATTAGTACAAATCTTTCTTCTCATTGAATTAAGAGAAAGTAGCTGTATATCTATCCTATTTTGTATATAGAGATACAAAATGGTCCTACATTTGTATCCCCTTTTCCTGTTTACTTGTGTCAGAGATGGCTATTCCATTATCATTCAAATATTGTAGGTGCATGAATTCAGCAAAATAATCCAATATAGACCAGTAGTCCCTAACAGTAGTGGGTTATCCATAAGACTGGCAATGTCAGAAGCTGTTGACTTGATCCTTTTATAGCTCAGCCAATTATATGGCTTTACTTTTTAATACTTCATTCTCATACTTTTTTGCTGGATGGTTAAAACCAAGATAAAGCAAGACCTATATGACAAGAAATTTAACTTTTGTATCTGACATGGTCAGTCAAATCTGGGACTCATTTAATATGAAGTGCTAGAGTAAGTGGTATGGGATGAGGAACAATTTGGAGATTATTTCAGAAAAGATCTTTGAGGAACAGATATTTCAGTTAAAGCACAAAAGACAGTGTGAGGTTACTACTCAAAAACTGTGAACAGAAAGGATGCATGTGGGAAAGATGTGGTATGATGGAGGGTCAGAAAAGGGACCAGAATGTTTGATAAGCAGTGACAGATATACAAGCCAAGGCTGCCTGTTGAGGAGGGTAGCAGAAGGCTATATAATACGAGTGAAAATTTTATTCTACAGTCAGGGGAAGCCATTGCAGAAGCTTCATAAGGGATTAATCTACTTTTTGAGAAGATTTCGTTTGCAGCTTAAAAACATGATTTTGACTGTTAGGTAGATAATGAATTATAAAGACAGGAGAGGAAGTGGGAAGGCATTGAGCAATTCATTCCTAGTCCAGTTAGGACAGTAAGGTAACAAGAAGTAGCTGTGGAAATGGACCAGAGTGTACAGACTCAGTTACTAACAAAGGATGAAGGTAAGAGAAGGAAACGGAGATGGTTATGAGTATCTACAAAATCTCTTTAATTTACAATTCATGATTTAAGATGGGCACTTTTTAAAGAGTAGAATATTGCATCCCATTGATTTACAGGTTATCTAAAGGCTCATGATTTATAGATTTATATCCCAATGTGAGTGTCTCTTCTTGGATGTCAACAAGTACTGTGGTTGTGTCTAGTTGTCCCCCCAAAGCCTCATGTAGTCATAGGGTAGACTTCTAGAGGTTGTGATTAATTCATGATCTAGTGCTGAGGTTATGAGTGTGAGTGCTACTGAGATTATGGGTGGGAGTGCTATACCTTTCCTGGGACAGAAAGCCTAAATACAACATAAGGGAG